GAGAGAGAGAGAGAGAGAGAGAGAGAGAGAGAGAGAAGAGATGGAAGAGAGAGAAGAGAGAAGAGAGAAAGAAGAAGAGGGAGAAAGAGAAAAATAAGAGAGGGAAGAAAGAAGAAGAGAGAGAAAGAGAGAGGAGAGAGATGAGAGAGTGGACCTAGAATGGGTTTGGCCTAGGTGTACCTTCGTTGGTCCCTTTGCGCACAAATGAGGGAGAAAGAGGTCTAAGTCTTGGGTCAAGATTAGAGTTTAGGGGCTTAAGTGTCTAGCTTTGGTGGATTGGGTTGAGGTATGGTGGATAGAAACTAGGGTGTATGGGATTGGGTAAGGTATAAGGTAACTAAGGTGTATATGTGTTGTATGGAATACTATGGTGTATGGTGTAGGGTAGGGTATAGGCTAACTAAGGTAGGGTGTAGGGTGTAGGGTGTATAGAGTAGGATTGGAAGCTAGGGGTCCAAGGTATATGAAAGCTAGGAGTTTTACGGTGTATGGGTTTGGGAGTTGGGAATCTTAAAGGAGTTGGAACTTTGAGGTTCTATAAAGTGTAGGGTTCTAAGGGTATTTTCTCTCTCTAAAAAATGTTTCTATCTCCTCTCCCTTTGGTCTTGAACTTGAAAGCAAAATGAAAACAAGAAGCTAAGAACTCAAGAATCTCACTCTAAAATGCTCAAGGATTCAAGAATTTTATTGCAAATGATCAAACTGTATTACAAATGATTTGGGTTCTCTTATATAGAGCAACCACTAAATAAGGGTGGAATGTTCAAAAACATCCAAAATTATCAAAAAAATACACATTTTATAAATTAAAATATTATACTGTTTTTTGACCAAATGACCAAAATACCCCTAAGTAATTTTCAACCAATGACAAAATCGTCATTCCATGAGGGGCCTCCTGCCATTGCTAGACTTTGGAAGCCTTTTCGAACGCTTACGGTGGTAATTCAGGCGATCAATCATCGTAGAATCGATGCTTGAACTATTGCGCACATTTTGATACCCTTTTATTGTCTTGCAACTGATTTTTATAGAAAAACCCAAATCCGGTCAAGTCCATAAACTTTGTGATTCTTCAACCACAATTCGGCCAAGTCAAAAAATATGCATTTTATGAATTAAAATAGTAATCCTAATTTTTAGACCAAATGACCAAAATACCCCTAGGCACTTTTCAACAAATGACATATCCATCATTCCATGAGGGGCCTCTTGTCATTGCTAGACCTCGAGAGCTTTTTTGGATGCTTACAATGGTAATTCGGGCGATCAATCGTCGTAGAATCGATGCTTGAACTATTGCGCATGTTTTGATACCCTTTGATCGTCTTGCAACTGATTTTTATAGAAAAACCAAAATCCGGCGAAGTCCTTAAACTTTGCGATTCTTCGGCCACAATCCAGCACAAACGTTGATGTTCCAAGCTTTCATTTTGATTACAAATTGAAGATGATACTATCACGATCACTTTCCAATAAATTTTGTTCATATTGGTCTCCGTTTGAGCACGTTCCAATTTTCGGAAGTCACTGGAAAATGGGATTCTAACGACCGAAAAAGTATGCCATTTTTTACCTTAAAATTTGTGTCATCTAATCTCTAATCATACATAAAAATTATATCAAAATGTAGCTCTTCGAAGCACAGTCGTAATGGACCCATACTTGTGACGATCTAACATCGGGATTTTGAGCTATGACCTCTCAAAGAATTGGATGTTCTTCTTTGTAAAATTTATATTTTCATGTTTCAAGCTCATTTTCTCTCTAGAAATTCTCTCATTTCGGGCCACACCATGACGCGTGCTATACGCCAAAACGATCGGGTCGTCGAGATCTAGTCATGTCCGAATTTGAGCTTAATTGGACTCAAAACGAGTGAGTTATGAGCATTTGAAAATCATCCCAAGGAAAACACAGTTTCCATAAATGAAAACTGATTTACTAATGCTGCACCACAATAGTGTAAGACCCACCATTTTATTGTAAATTAAGCCCAAAATGGTCCCGTAGGTCCGATTGAGTCGAAATTTGGGATCTAAGGGTTTTGCGATGTTTTTGATCCAATGGCAGTGGTTTGATACTATTTTGAGACCAAGAAAATGGAGCTATAGTTATGGAGTCCATTTTCATTACGATAGGAACTGGATTTGAAAACCAAGTTTGGTCTTGATCATATCAAAACTCGTCAAAATGCGATGAAACTTTATGGGTGTCATTAGGATATCCAAAACTACCCTATCATACAATTTGAAGCTATTGTGACATATCTTCAAAGGTCGCTCAATTTTAGGCTTATTGTTACAATGTTCTTGTGGTCTGACAACATCTTAGGCACAGATAAGATCAGGTTATTACCGACTCTGTGCTTATTCGCCCCAAGGATACAAGTATGTCAAATGATGTATAACAAGAGACAAATGTTGAACCATTTTGTACAAAGAGAGAGTAGGGAGAGGGATACGTGTCATAAAAATAATGTCCATCTCTTTCTTGCTTAATATATAGTAGGTAATGTTGTTTTTCATTTGGTGGCTCCAGGTGTATGTTGCAACTTGGGAAAAGATTTCTTAAATTTTCAAGCATGACAAACCACCAATTTTAACATCTAGTGGCCAAGAGTGTTAGTGACTGTCTTATGGCAAAGGTAAACGTCCTGATCGTATATCTTTCTAAGAGGTGGTATAATTTAGTTGGACATTGGAAACACAATTATCAAGACCTGCTTAAAGAGGAATAGGGTGATCGCTTGCTTACCTGTTCCAAATGGCCAAGTGATGGATTCATACCTTGCTTGGGTACCTAACTCCAAAAAAAAGATATTAACGCCCAAGAAACAACTGAAATTATCCCATTAACTGGAGAAAAGCCTAAAAATAAGCTTAAGTACCTAAGCAAAAGATTAAAGGATTGAGAAACTGAGAGCGGTCCAAAGATTGTGTTTGAGTGGGATAGTTCAAAAGAAAAATTCAACAAAAATTCAATGATCATTGTCAAGGAGATGTTGGGTATCAACTTAGGACAAGGGAAATATGAGGATAACCAATAATAGAATTCCCTGTCACTTGGAGAAGGAGAATATTATCGAACTCTTACATGGTCATAGGATGAAGTGTCACAACAAAGAACGAAAAACACCTCTGCCCTTTCTTTTTCTCCCCCTACTCCTTTATCATCACCATCTTCTTCTCCTACGAAAAAAAAAAAAAAAAAAACCATTTAAAGCCGACAAGCACCATTTAAAACAAGAGATAGGTCCTTATAAAATAACCGCAACATATTGATGCCTGCAAAGAGTTTATGGACAAGACAAAAACAGTGGGATTCTAAGCGGCCCACAAATGATCCCACAAACCACCTTGTCAAAGAAAATTAAATGATCCCACAAACCACCTTGTCAAAGAAAATTAAATCGATCCACTACCCCAAATGGGTCTAATGGAAAAAATATTTGGGTATGGAATGAGAATACCGTGCTCATACTTCCTCACCAACAGCAAAACCTCCTCCTTCCTTTTTGCACCTCCTAAGCCCCACACATTCCAAGAAAGCACTTCATGTTCTTCTACATAAGTCGCATGCTTGCTAGTCATCCTCTAACCAGCAAACCCCAAACTCCTTTTTATTTCTAGCCACCATCCTTAATATTATTTCTACTAATAAGGTCCCCTTTTATCTTGTCGCACTTGTCCACCCCTTTCATTACATCTTTAAACTTGTAGCATAGATAGATATTCAAATAATATTAATAAAGATTTAATATTTCTTTTTTCTTCTATCCCTTTTTCCTAATTGTCACGTGTAAATCCGCCTTCATGCGGCTCATACACACTACACTTCTATCTATGAAAAGTTTAGTTAAAAATAACTGAAAATAATGAAACATAATTTTTATGTAAATGAATAAGGAATGGGAAATTTATCAAAATACACCCTATTTTTTAACAATATAATTTCGATGAAATTTCTATAAGGCCTTGAATTTACAAAAACAAAATAAAACCTCATCTCAAATCTTTGTTTGGAAGGCATTTTCGGCGACAAAATTATCCATGATGGCTCTAAAATCAATTTGCAACACCGACAATAAAATTTGAAACTAAAAAAAGGGTGATAACCTTGCGGATCTGTGAACAATGAATGGTCTAGATAACTTGTTACAATGTATGCTATTTTAAGAGGTTGAAATCCTTTTTTTTTTCTCTTGGCAACCATAATTTTCAAGCTGAGATGATCGATGTAAAGGTTTTGCAGTACTTGAATTGTAATTTTTGATGAGTTATGAGGCCAAACTTTATTTATTTTGATAACGCTGCAAACATTTTCCTCAAAATTTTACCCGAGGTCAAAATCATTGTATATTTTGATAGATTTGTAATTTAAAATTATATACAATGAGACCATTTATTTTAGTCCAAAAAAATTACTCATAACCATCCGATCTAGCATAGGTGTTTCATTATATACTTTTCCATAGGGTGAATATTTTGTAATTTAGATGTATTGTGACAAATGTCCCCGCATCAAACTTTCAAAAGAAAGCTCATTTAATAATTGGTAAAATCGTACCGTGAGAACAACGTACTCGAAAATGGGGCCTCAAGAAGAAATTCTCTTTGGGCGTATCGCCTACTCGAACAACGGAGCCAGCATGGGTTTGGGATGAATACTCTTTCTCTCTCTCTGCACTCAGAGAACCTTTGGCATTGGTGCTTGGATTGTTTACCTGGCTACCAATAACAATAAAAGCTCCAAAAGCAAATTCTTTTGATTCCATTGCCCCTTTATTCCACTTAGGGTGGCCCTTCTGCAGTTTCATAGACCCCACGCTCTTCCTCTCTCTCTCTCTCTCTCTCTCTCTCTCTCTCTCT